AACAACCTGATAAGTCGCAAGAGAAAGAACCATAAAGCGATCACTGCAGTGTTAAGATATTCTTGACATTCTAAACAAACATTTTTCAACCATTGGTAAGAAATTAGCTAATTCAAACTCTAAATTGCCCAATTCAAACACACATTTTAGTCAATATCTTAATAGTCACAATTATCTCAATTCGTTCTTTTTTAACCCTGTTATCCCCTATGAGGTTGAATTTGAAATTACTTCAATGCCTTGTAATAAAGCAGATGAACTTTTTTCGAGCACTATACGCATCCTAAAATGTATAAAACAACAAATATCTTGGCCACTAGCAGAAATAATAAATCTTCCAATTCAAAAAGGAGTATTTCCTTCAAGACTAAAGCATGCCAAAGTTGTTCCAATTTATAAAACTGATGATGAAACTGACCCAGGAAACTATAGACCAATCCTGCTGCTTTCTAGCTAATTTTAAGCAATTGTTTGAAAAATTAATGTTGACAGTATAAACGACTAAAACTGTTTTTTGATAAAAACGAGACCTTTTATATGAATAACAATATGGTTTTCGAGCTAGCAAAACCTTCCACACAGCATGCCATTATTGACATCGTTAATAATATACGAAATAACATGGACAAAAAATTGTTCTCGTATGGTATATATATTGACCTAAAGAAAGCATTTGATACTGTTGACCACACAATACTTTTACATAAATTAAACATTACGGCATTCGCGGTGTTATTATAACTGGTTTAAATCATATTTAACAGAACGAATGCAAACAACCCAAATGGAAGAAAATATATCATCGAAAGAAATCATAAGATTTGGTGTTCCGCAAGGCTCAGTCCTTGGGCGTTTACTTTTCCTAATTTATGTAAATGATATTTATACATCATCCAAAATATTCAAATTCTATCTGTTTGCCGACGACACAAATTTATTATACGCTAATAAAAATCTAAAATCTCTTGAAACAGTTGTCAACAAAGAATTAATGGCAGTTTGCGAATGGCTAAATGCGAATAAATTAACACTCAATTTAAAAAAATCGAATTACGTTATTTTTCTTCCATATCAAAAAAAGCTTAATTTCCTAGTCAGCATAAAAATGTTTAACAACAATACAAACAAACTAACTGAGATTGAGTGCAAAGAATTTATCAAATATATGGGAGTAATAATTGATAGTAGAGGTATTCATCGGATCGGATTGGACGGTTATAATCCGACAATTGCCTAAGCCGATCCGATCCGATTTTGTCTAATCCGAATCCGATCCGAGTTTTGATAAAGAATTCCAATCCGATCCGATCCGAAGAATTCTTTAATAAAATAAATTTCTCATTCAAGTTGAAATATTTAACCAAATAAATATAAAGGCAAGAAATACATGTCAAGAAGCTCACAAAGTGACGTCCAATTGAAGTATCAAACGAATAATGCAGCGACAACCGAGATGATGCTTTAATAAATGCATGGTTATAATTAATTCTTGCGATAAAGCGTGGATAATTAATTCATTTTATTTCGGATATCGAAGTCCGATCCGATCCGACCACGAAACAACTTTATCAATTCGATCCAATCCGAAATGAATATTTTGGTTCCGAAATCCGAACGAGTGCGATCGGATCGGTTTCGGATCGGATTTGCACACCTCTAATTGATAGTAGCCTTACCAGGAAGTATCATATAGACAACATTGCATCTAAGATAAGTAAATCAATCGGAATAATTACAAGGCTTAGGCATTTCGTGCCTCTTTCAACCTTACTTAGCATATATCAATGTTTAATACTGCCATATATATATTAACCTATGGTATATAATTGTATGGGGACAGGCATCAAATGTTTATTTAAATAAGATTCTTATTCTCCAAAAACGGGCTATGCGCCCGATTAATTTTAAAAATTATAAAGAACCTGCCATCCCGTTGTTTAGTGATTTAAATATCCTTCCTTTGAATATGCTGTATTATAAAAAACAGTGTGTAACTTAATGTATGATGTCTCTAATAGTTCTTGCCCGTCTGCAATTTCTGAATTGTTTTATCCAGGCAAGACATATGCACACCCATAACACTAGACATTGCAAAGTTAACTAATTTTTACATTCAATACTCAAGATTAAACAAACATAATGAATCTTTTGTAAAACTCGGAGCAAAAATTACTTTTCAAAATAATTTTAGTAAAGATACTAGAACACCCCCAAATTACCCATGGCTGCACAGGGAGCACAGGAGTCGAGTTTATCTAGTAAAACAATACAAACGCCATCTTACCTTGTTAATTGTAATATCTTTTATTTGAAATTGTCATGAAACATATAAAGCAGTGATATAAAGTTTATAAACATTGTATGATTTTTTATTCGTACTTCATGTAACATGAACACCAAATGAATATACTCCGCTGTTCTAGATTATTGTGGGCTCACATTTCGCTATACTTAGCAAACAATAAGAAACGAAGAAAGGGAGGAAACAGTCGTTGGGGTGATATTTTAGGATGGCTAATATTTTATAAAAAAACATAATGTTTTGCATACAAGCTAGAAATTATCTATTCTTACTACGCTAGGAAATAAATTTCAATAAACGGTCGTTTAACCTACATATTTGACGACCGATATTCATCGATTATTTTCGTACGATGTGCACCGCAACACCCTATGACGGAAGTGACGTATTGTTTCGTGTTTATGCATGATTGATTTAAATTTTTCGAACACTAATCACAACTGTCAAATGAAGTTCTGCTTCGTCATTGGTCAATGGCCAGTTTTATTCACTTCCGCCATAGGGTGTTGCGGTGCACATGCGACGAAAGATCTGCAATGTTTCCTCCCTTTCTTCGTTTCTTATTCGTTGATATCTCGGCCAGTGTTCGTTAGCTTTTCAGAAAATACAAGTCTACGGTAATTCAAGGCAGCGGAATATATTAATGTTGAAAATTCATGTTTCGTTTTATATTCGATAATTTTGATGAATAAATATGCATTTTTAATGCGAACATTGGGATTTTACAATGAAATATACTACAATTAACAAGATAAGACGGTGTTTGTCTTGTTTTACTAGATAAACTCGACTCCTCTGCTCCCTGTGTGGCTGCTTGCATAATGTTTTCACAAATATTGCGGAATTTGCAGTTTAGAGAACATTTTCGAACTATGCAGGGTATTTTTATACACCCTGTATATCATCATCCTTACTCACTGTATTTAAGATATTCAGTGCACCCACAGGCGGCCCAGGCTCTGTGTGGGTGTTTATTTATTTTTTAATTTTATTATATTTTGCATTAAATATGACTTTAAATTATAAAGTATAACTTACTTAGTTTCCTTTATGTATTAACTGTGATTTGGGTGTGGTTTTACTTTGATATAATGATATAAAAACATCATGAGAATGCGATATAATATACATTTTATATATTGTAAACTATTGTAAAAAAATAATGTCCAAATGCTCTCTGATTCAAAATATTGGCGGATGTACTTGTTTACTGTGTCATTTACTTCACACTCGTCGATTTTCAGGCCATTTCGTTGAACCCGGCGGCCGATATTATCCATCATCTAATATTACCCACTATTAATAACGGAAAGGTAGGTAGCTGTAACGCCGGGCGAACTTGGGGGAGACATAAATGTCAACAAAACTCGCCGTTAAAATATTGCCAAACGCTTCTAAAGCAGCGGCTACACATATTTATGTTTATTCAATCTTCCTAACTTGTACAACCCTTTCCCTCGCTTTTCCTTGAAGAATTAGAACAACTTAATGTAAACAAAAGCACTTTCTCCGCACTCTGCTCCGCGATCTGCTCTGGAACCAAACCGTTAAAATTTTAATTTTTCAAACTTTGTAACCGCGCCACTCATTAAAATATTCCTCCTCACCCTCTTGATCTATTAACGTGCACGTTATTTTTTTACAATAGTTTACAATACTGTATATAAAGTGTATATAATGTCGCATTCTCATCATGTCTTTATATCATTATATCAAACTAAAACCACCCCCAAATCACACTTAATACATAAAGGAAACTAAGTAAGTTTTACCTTATAATTTAAATTCATATTTAAAGCAAAATATAATAAAATTAAAAAAATAAATAAATACCCGCACAGAGCCTGGGCCTGTGGTGTCCCCGAAAACATTGTTCATTGACAAACATTCCTTGTATACGTCTTGTATAATTCTTGTCTAACAACACCAATTCAAACGCATAATGAATCGTTAAATATGATATCAAGGTAAAGTAACGCAATTTAAACCTAGTAAATATATATTATTTACAGTTTGGTTCAAATTATGGAGATTCATACTTGAAATTTATATAATTACTTGAAAATTTTGAACAAGAAAATGGAGATTACTTTGTTGCTAAGTTAAACTTTATAATTGTCCATTTTGTTCTTAATTTTCATTTCGTTTGTTTACAAATTACATCTATTGCAATATAAAAACGTTTGCATTGCTTCGTATCCACTCCTTCAAGGCAGCCATAGTGCCAAAATATAACCCGTTTAATGAATAATTCAACGACATTTCTTTGACGACCAATCAAATCACTCGGAGTTTGAGATTCCGCCAGGGCTTTCGGCAACGCAGGCAGCCGTGAAGTTCTGGGGACGAGGTTGACGCAGCAGTAGACTATGATTACACTACACTGCATAGTTATTAGAAAAATGAGCTCATCCTAACCAGTGCCAATGCAGTAATATAATTGTATATAATATAATTGTATATAAATATATAATATAATCGCTTTTGAATGCAGAACTATATCAATTAAAAGACGAGAAGACAAGATCCGAAGACAAAGCGGATGGTAAAGACCAGCCTTTATTAAATATGGCCATTGTTATATATCGTGATGATGTTGAATATCTAAAAAGAATCATCAAAGCAAAAGGTATGATCTTTTAAATTGATAACGTCCTGGGGTACTGCAGCGAAGAGCAAAGGCGTACGCGTGTTAAAAATGATATAAGTATTACTCAAAGTAATCACCCACAGTAGGGGTTTACCTCGAGTAGACACTGCACAAAAACTTCTATGTTTTGACTTGAGCTAGTAGATCTTGAAAATAACGACCTTGACTTACCCAAACTAAAGTTTATAATTGGAATGTAAAATGTTTGAGTAACGTAATATAAAGATAGGAAAGTAATAGCGACGCAATCTACAGTTTGTCAATAATCGCGGGTACGTAGCTTTGTTTCATGCATGGTGTCATGCGCATAGAGATTATAACTAACACTAGAGGAGGCATTGTAATCTTAATTCAGTTAAAAAAAAAGGGAACGCGTCTATTGAGGGGGAGGGGGCAAATTCAAGTCCCGGATGTTTATTCATGTTTCGATTGGTGACGAGTTTCAAATCAGCCAATGAGAGCAAGATTTTATATCTGGGACTTGAATTTGTCCCTATTAGCTGCGTTCCCAATTTTTAACCTCGATGCCTCCTCTAGTGTTATTTATAATCTCTATGGTCATGCGTCCGTGGACCTCTTACTGATCTCAAAGATATGGCGAATCTCAGGAGGCAAAGAGTACGATTTGCGAGACAAAAGTTAAAAACATTCAGAAACCCGAAAATTAAACAGCCAATTAAACAGCCAAACCGTTTATTGTTTTTACAAAATAACAAAAAAATCAGGGACAATCCTGGAAATCGTAGAACCTAAGGTTAGTTTAATTGTTTTAAATATTGATGTATTATTTGCTTAAGGTGGCTCCCTAGGGTTTTTCCCGGGGTTAGGTTCTTCGTATATATATGCATGTAAACTATCGCGTCATGTATTGAACTCGTGTGATTTCAAAATACGAACGACAGTTGTGTTTTATATATATGTGGAACTTTTTTTTTAAACAAATGTGTGAACTTTGCTTTACTTAAAAGCAAAACAGAGTTCTAAAATCCACAACGTGATATTTGGATGTGATGTTTCAGAAGAAGACAATGTAGCCCAAATTTGTTTTTTTCAAGCGGTATTCTGGACGTTTATGACCGCCGTACGCGAGGTTCCATTCGCGAATATTGGATATAAAGTTTCCTCGAGAATTTGCAGTGTTTTCTGCACAATCTAGCAGCATTTAATGACGATAAAAATGATTTAATAATGAACCCTCTACGTGTGAAATAAGTAGAGCAGAAACTCCACAAACATACCACCGTAAAACTGAAATTTGAACGGGCGTTTTGCGAAAACATCGGACGATAGTATTAACTCGCACGGGACGAATTTTGACAAACATTTTCAAATTAATACAAGTCATAAACAGGAATTACCTAAATATATTTTCCAATTTTACATGTAATAATCCACGCCTAGTTGACCATTAACCGACACAGTAAAACAGTATACATATCAAACATAATTTATATTTTGTAATTTAAAACAATCATGCCTTGTTGTTTACGAAATGCATGTACACGTCAGATGTGAAAATTGTTCACGTCATAAATTACCTAAACTTCTCCCTATTAAACCTAAATTTCTCCCTTTTCCTTCGGTGAAATTTTTTAAAACTTTGCACATTTCTTAATATCGTCAGAACAAGTGCAATATCCTTTTTGTTGCATGCCATATATGGCATACAACTTTCATATAGCTCTAAATTTCGTGTCGCGGTGGCGGTGAGCATACCGGTCACGTGGCAAATTCGTAAAATGCGACAAATACCGAGCTTTTCCGACGAATATTTACGAACATTTATAAGCATAATTATCTCTGCAAATTATAAATTTTGAATTATAAATTATAAATTGCGAATTAAATTTTGAATCATGTGAGCAACTGATCATGTGATGTGATGTCAATTGTGAAACCATACTTCATGCACATTTTCGTCGATTCTTTCCCGAATATTTTACATAATCGAGCGCTTTTAGAAGACCTTAGAAGGTAGGTAAAGCTTTGCTGTTTTTAATTTACCTTATATTCTGTTATCTGTTGTGATTTTGGAGTCTTTGTGCTCGCACTGATGATTTAACAGGCGTTATTATATAGCGTGAAAGGCCACGCTATCAAAATACTCAATTTTTAAATACTCAGACTGAAACGGGGCCATTGTGCTCGCACTGATTATTTATCAGGACGCTATTAGCGTGAAAGGCCACGCCCTCAAAATATTCAAATTGAAGCGGAGCCATTGTGCTCGCACTGATTATTTATAAGGGCGCTATTGGCGTGAAAGGCCACGCTCTCAAATTGATCCTTTCCATTGTGCAGGTAAAAAAAGCAGCCCATTGCCATTGTGCTGGGATTATTGAGACTTTGTGCAATTTTAAAAGAATTACAAATACAGACTGTCAAAGACAATACTGAAAATATACAGTACTGTACATTACTTACTGACAATTACTGTAACGAAACTATTTTATTCCAAACAGTGAGAATATAGAAATATGGGTGTGTCAATTGAGATATACAGACTAAGAATTGGTTCACATAACAACTTTGTGCAAGCACGACAGTCCATGAATCAAATGAAAGGTAAATTTTGGAACCATATGTTAGTAATGTTCTACTTAGAAATATTTTATTTACCATGCTTGAAAAATCTAGTTACAACGATTGAAAGTAATAATGAAGTTTGCAAGTGGTTTGCACAAATGGTATCTTATCATGTTTATGTGCCATTGCTATTGAGGCTTGCAAATGATGTAGAGGATCCAGGCCCAATTAATATCTATGATATTGTTGATCATAGTTTTACGGTTCGAGCAGACTTCAACCAAGGTAATATATCCATGTTTGGAATAAATGCTGGAAAATAATGTGTTGCCATGTCAATTTATGCTATTGTATACAATGAAATAAAATCTGTTAATATTTGGGATACACCACTTATGAACACGCTTCTAGTTAATGCAAACAATCTTTATGCCATAATTAGTCAGCACATTCAGAAAGATTTCTTATTGCTCACTGATGTTCCTGAAATATTGTCTATCAACAATGATACTTTTAATTTGGAGTACAGTGACTCTTTTTCTGGAGCATTATGGATGGACTATAACAATGAACAGTATGTTACACTTGAACATGCCTTTCATGAAGTATTTGATGCTGATAATTACAAAGCGTGTTTACTAACTATTGGAGCAAACACTGTTGCAGTTTTAATGCCTTTCCCAGATGTATTTAAGGTTTTTGATTCTCATTCACGAGATATGCATGGAATGCCAGCAGCGATGGGTTATAGTGTTTTAGTTTCATTGAAGGATTTCATAACCTTATAATTTTTTTTCATAACAGTTGTAACTATCCTGGACAAAATAGCGAAAATAGTCTATTTGAATTGAAGGGTGTTAAATGTCATAGAAACATTTCATTGTCAAACAGTTTGGATAACATAGCGAATGACGACACAACATCAAATAACCATGAACAACTAACAAAACAACAAGAGTCTGTTATAGAAAGAGAAAACAGACGTGCAAAGCTAAGAGAGAAGCAAAGAGAGAAAAAACAACAAGCAAAACAAAAAGAGTCTGTTACAGAGAGAGAGAATAGACTTGCAAAGCAAAGAGAGAAAAGAAAACACGAGTCTGTTTCAGAGAGAGAAAATGGACTTGCAAAGCAAAGAGAGAAAAGAAAACAAGAAACTGTTTCACATAGGGAAAATAGACTTGCAAAGCAATTAGCGAAAAGGAAACAGGTAGCAGAGAGAGAGAATAGACTTGCAAAGCAAAGACAGAAAAGAAAACAGGTAAGACAACAAGAAACTGTTTCAGAGAGGGAAAATAGGCTTCAAAACCAGCGAAAAGCAAGAAGGTTGAAAAGGCAAAACGAAACTGTCGAACAAAGAGAGCAAAAATTAGCAAAAGTAAGAGCTAATTATAAGGAAAATAAAAGTAGACGTTTTGGAAAAAACAAACAATGTCCTCCATCAGGTTCTCGAGGTCATGTATATAATGATAATGGTATATCACATAATAGTGTATCACAATTGATACATAAATTCCATAAACCTGTATCAACAGGTCCTCTGTATATATGTTCATGCTGTGATCAATTATGGTATAAACACAGTGTTTGTCCTGCTGAGAGGCTTCGATTGTGCAATCCAAATTCTACTAAACATATACAAGGCATTAAAAGTGTGGATAATATTGAATGGCTGTGTTTGACATGTGACAAACATCTTAAAAAGGATAAAGTGCCACCATCTGCAGTTTCAAATGGCTTGAAGTTTCCAGAAAACCTGACTTCTTTGATTTAAATGAATTAGAATGCAGGCTTATAACTCCAAGATTGACATTTCAAAAAATAATGCAAGCTCCGAGAGGACGGCAACCTAAAATTACTGGTAATGTTGTGAATGTACCAGCAGACATATGTAATACTGTTAACATGCTACCCAGGTTACCACAAGATACTGGGACTATTAAAGTTCAATTAAAATGTCGACTGCAATATAAGAGTTCTTCTGCCTTGTCTTTGAATGTGAGACCTAATAAAGTGATGCAAGCTGCAGCTTGGTTGGTAAATACTAGTGAACTATATCGAGAACAAGGAATAACTTTTGATCAGCATTGGTTATCATACTTTGATGTTCCAACACCTAATAGTGACAATGAAAATACTACAGTTGATGAAACTAATTTAACATCTTCAGAAAATGAATGGAGTGAAGATGAAACAGAAATTCCTGCAGGTGTAACAGACAGTATGCTTACACCTACTGATTTTGTAGATGACACTGAAAGACAACATATATACAATGTTGCACCTGGTGAAGGTAGTAGACCACTCATAATATTTAGAGATGTGCGTGTGTTGTGGAGTAAAGACGTGCTAATTTTGCTCCGTATTTTGATTAAATAGTTGTGAGATATGCCAGATACGGTTATGTCTCTCAAGATAGAAAATGATGAATTAAAGAAACAAGTTATTGGATTGAAAGCAGACCTCAAGCATTTTCAAGAATCAATACTAAAAAAGTTTCAAGACATGCCCTCTAAAATGGCCACAACTTCGCCATCAACTAATAGCGATATAGTTAAAAGCCTTGACTATCTCAGTGATGCGTAAGTAGTAATATAGAGGCCGTTCAACCCCCATTTTTGAGGGTGCGTAAGGGTGCGTAAGGGTGCGCTAATTAATATTCATACAAATGAGGGTGCGTAAGGATGTTGAGGGTGCGCTAATTAATATTCACCATTTTTGAGGGTGCGTAAGGGTGCGTAAGGGTGCGCTAATTAATATTCATACAAATGAGGGTGCGTAAGGGTGCGTAAGGGTGCGCTAATTAATATTCACCATTTTTGAGGGTGCGTAAGGGTGCGCTAATTAATATTCATACAAATGAGGGTGCGTAAGGATGCTGAGGGTGCGCTAATTAATACCCGTACAAATGAGGAGGGTGCGTAGTGACGTCACTCATTAAAATACGTCATAATTATATGCAATGACGTCACGCGGGCGAGCTTAAACACGATCGGGCGAAACTTGCTGACTACGCATTTTTAGCGTCCCACACGTGTGTTGAATAGTTTGTGTCCCTCGCATGGCAAAATTGTTATCGAAATTAATATATAGCAGAGTTATAGCCGTATCTTTGCTCGGAAGAGATAAAATTCCACAGGTATATTGAAGGATTTTTTGTATGTTCCATAGCGAGGAATCTATTCGTCACAAAAATCAAGACATATTTTAAACTAAACAGTTTCTAATCTCGAGTTGTCAACGTCGTTGTTATGGTCAATATTTGCATGTTGTTTAAGATTATTTAGCAATTCTCCTACATACATATATACTGTTAAGATGATCATAAGAAAACTTATCAAGAGTAGAAGTTAGAATTAGAACAGTTGTAATATTTTTTGACACTATCGTCTGTTATTTGTATCAATAAACATGTTTTATACTTTGCAAATGTTGCGTTTTTATGCGTTGCTAAGTCATTAGGAGGCGTGTAGGTAATTAAGGGGATTAAGGTAATACGAATTTGCATAACTAAGTGTATCCCGATGGATAGATAGGGATTCTTTTTAACGCAGGTGTATACCTTAAAATCAGGCGCGTGGCTTTGCGGGTACATGCATATATTAAAGTACAACATATTTGTACACGGATCTTTTCGGAAAGAGCGGGCTTTGCCGGCAAAAAATTACACAATATTTCAGTTTTTAAACACATTTATTTCTTCAAAACGTTATACAAAATTTAGTACGGTCTACTTCTAAGAGCGTAACGTCTAGGTGTTTTTGTTATTTTTAAAGAGTTCTCACATTCTTGTCTATCTTCTGGGGATAACTTTGCAAGTTTTTCCGGCTTTATTGGAATATACTTCGGTCTATCGCTCAATATAAAACGTTCATAATCCTCTCTTGCTTCCGGAGTCATTCGCGCTAGGTCACGTTCGGTCCAATCTGCTGGGTCAACCCAATTGTGAAAAAAATTGCGCTTGAGTTTTGGCCGTTCCTCTCCGGTTGGTGGTGGTGTAAGGAAATTAGGTTTAGGCGTAGCAGGCACTGGTGGTACTATCTCAGCAAATTCATTGGGTGGTGGTATTTCTGCAGGCACTAGTGGAGTGGTCTGAACAGGAGCTTGAGCTTGGACATCCATCTTATTTTTGAATGTGAGAAACCGATTTAGTTGATCCGAATATAATTTGCTTTTTTCCACTGCGCTAAGCTGTGGTGCATCCATGATTTCTTTCATTTGCTGCTCGGCATCATACATGGCATTTACAAGTGGTGGTTGTCGATACGACTGTTTTTGTATAAACTTTTCAATCTCACCGGGAAGTATGTTGGTCTTGAGTCGTTGTTGATCATCTGTTGTTGGCTTTAAATCCAACATCAAATACCCGTGAGGTCGGCTCGTAGCATCTTCATAACTCCTCATAAATTCTTGTACTTTTCCGGGATTTATTTGCCTTGCAAGCATAGAAATTTGTTGTTTTTCCCTTGGTGACTTGAACAACACGATATAATGGGCGTTTAGGCTAATATTTCTCATTTCTTTGCCTTGATGAAATATATTTTGAACAATATAGATGATAGATAAATTCCGATGATGACTTCCTTTCGTAAAAAGATCAGAAATACGTTTATCTTTGCCAGATTGAGCCATAAGGTCGTCCAATACGATCAAATTCCGTTGCGATACGTCCAAGTAATCTGCGTTGTCGATGTCTTCGGGGATGCCTTGATTAAACTCGATTCCAGGCATCGTTCTCATCATATCAAAATAGGAGGGTTGCCATTGACCATAACACCAAATGATACGTTGAGGAGCAGGACTTATAGTTTTCTGTGCATTCTCCAAGAGAGATTTTACCCATACAGTTTTGCCGCTTTGGGTACACCCAGCTACGATGCACGTAAATGGGTGTTGCAAAACTGCAGATCCATTAGTCTTCATGCGAATGTTGACGGTTGGTTTTTGATCATGCACTTTTTGTTTGTGTCGATTTAAATTGAACGGTTTAGAGAAATATTTCCCACAGATATGACATGAATGAGACATGTTTACTCTATGACGAATAGTTAGATAATAAATCTCTCAAATAGAAACCGAGTTTATATAACTAGTATCTCGTAGCCAACTCCCTAGTCTCGGACCCAAGCTCCTTAGGCTCGGAGCTGCTTAGGCTCGGAGCCAGCTCCTTAGGCTCGGAGCCTGCTCCTTATGCTCGAAGTCAGCTCTTTAGGCTCGGATCCGAGCACATTAGGCTCGGAGCCGAGCACCTTAGGCTCGGAGCCGAGCTCTTTAGGCTTGGAGCCGAGCTCCTTAGGCTCGGAGCCGAGCTCCTTAGGCTCGGAGCCGAGCTCCTTAGGCTCGGAGCCGAGCTCCTTAGGCTCGGAGCCAGCTCCTTAGGCTCGGAGTCAGCTATTTAGGCTCGGAACCGAGCACATTAGGCTCGGAGCCGAGCTCCTTGGGCTCGGTGCCAGCTCCTTAGGCTCGGAGCCAGCTCCTTAGGCTCGGAGCCAGCTCTTTAGGCTCGGAGTCAGCTCCGAGCTGCTTAGGCTCGGAGCCTTGTCTAAATTGCTTTCTCTCTTCCGATATAAGCTTCCTTATTGTTGTGTTTTACTCATTTGCTTCCAAACCGTCGAACAGAAATGATCAATCTTCTAAGGCACAAGCCATTTCTTGAATTGTTGGGCACGTCTGAGCCTGATCAACAACAAGCACTACTGGAAACAGCAACCGCCGGGCAAGTACACTGCCTGTGTCTCTGTGTAGAAAACGTTATGAAAAGAAAATATTTAATGTCGAAGCTTGTAATGAAGAAACTCCGACCTTACAGACATGAAATGCTTAGGTTGGTAGATAGAGGAAAATGTGGAAGAAGAAATAAACGTATACTCATTCAGCATGGTGAAGGTTTCCTTGGACTATTACTAAGTCCTATTTTGGAAAGCCTGGCTGAACTTGTATAAAAGCCCTGTGACTACAAATTATACATCATTTCAACAATGAACATCGAGAGTAAAACATCTCCCCGACATTGGCGCATTGAAGATATACTTTTGTATCTGAACAATAATGTCAAAAAAACTACAGCAGAAAAAATGCTACATTCTATTCTTATATCAAGTGATATTTTAACTTGGAATCCTCAGGGTGAGATTGTTTATCATGGAAGAGACATTCCTGGTACTAACATCGAGAACTTTTTACAATACGCACTTTCACATTCCTGAACCACGAGGGCTCGACCTGTTTACAAAAGGTCTAGTAGAAGCAGGGGTTAATAAAGATTTAATTAAAAATGAGTATTTATTGTCAAAAATGGCAAAGGAGGAACATGAAATGCCACAATCTGAGAGTGATGTTGAAAGCGAATCTGGTGAAGAGAACAGGGAATCTGACAAAGGTGATAATGAAAGCGAATATGATGATAATGAGGATGATGATAATGAGGATAATGGTGAGCCCGAGAAACTAGCTTGTAACCATTGTGGAGAAGAGACTGGTCACATTGTATACTTAATGAAGTGCCCAAGATGTTCGTGGAAAGATTTCTACTGGGGCAAAGACGCTCAATGTATGATATGTGATGAACAGTCACCTCTACTGTTTTCGCATGTCATTGGTTTCTGCGAGCTATGTTCGTATGGTACGTCTAACACCAAGACGGGTGGATTGGAGTTCACACCAAAAATGGACAATTAAAAGACCCAGCAGATTGGACCGAACGTGACCTAGCGCGAATGACTCCGTATTTATCCACACAGTAGAAAACCTACCTACCCGTATTTATCTACCCGTATTTATCCACACAGTAGAAAAATGCAAATCTCTGATAAAAGTTAATCCTTTAATTAGTGTCACCCTAACAACACATAGCAACCGGTGTGCTTTAATATAGCTTAAATTCATTAACCTTATCCGAGTTTTAGTACTTTAAAAAACTAGCAATAAAATATAGAAATCGCTTGAAAATTATATATCATAATCGAACTAACTTTAATCCAAAATAAGCAACGGGATATTGAAGCCACTATCCGAAAACAAGATGAAATTATATGCAAACTTTACGAGGATAATACATTTTTTAAGTCGAAATTACAATCTTTTATAAATTTAATCCCTGCCGCATCTCATAACAATCAGGAAAACAATATTGGTGGTACAATTAGCTTTGCTAACAACGTTTGTAAATCACCCTCTATTGTAAACAATCAATTCCATGAGAACAAAGACTGCGCATCAGGCGATTCACTAATTCTTTTAGATGAACCGCAACTGAGTGATGTTGAGAACAAAGCCCTCAATCCCGCTAGCGTAATTAACAAAGAAGACGAACCTTCCACTCGTACTAGTAATCAGTATCACGAAAATAACATCAGTGAGTCGGCTAATGTAATCAATTT